GTTCTGTTGAGGGAACAAACAAATTCAAGCTTGAATACGTTATTATGTTTGTGAATGTGTACAAAATAAAGGTTTATTACATTTAAAACGGTTCAGTTGTTATTTTGACTCATTTTGGCAGCTGACCAGCGGGGCCGGTAGATTCTTGGCGGGGCCGGTAAATATTCAGAGTTACCGGCCCGGCTGGCCGGTTGGTTTTGAAGTTAATGTCCACCCCTGATTTTTATGTTTTTTTCCTTCTCTGCTATAGCCGGTTATACCTGGCTTATTGTTGATATTCTTGCACGTGTTTAAAATAAAGCTCTGTCCATCCATCCATCCTTTAGTAGGCTATTTAGATTTAAATTTTAATTTCATTTCATCCCAAAAACTTAAAGATCGCGGCTTTAATTGCAATAAAAACAAGTTATGTCCATAATAAACAGAAGCCTGCCCCCATACGCCGCAATCTTTAATAAAATGGACATGATTGCTCCACATTACCGCCGGTCAGACCGCTCATAAACGCAGAGGCGGTTTTACCATTAGGCATAGGTAGGCGGCCGCCTGGGCCCCCCTTGTGTTGGGGGGTCCCCTAGCCCTGACCACCAGCACCCTCTGTTAATGCCACAATATTCTTATTACCAACCTGTGGCCGCAGACGGGATTGGACATGCGCACATCTCATTACCATAATTCCTGAACCGTTCAAGATATCATTAAAATTCCAAAAGTGCTGAAAAGATTAAAAATGGGGCTTTTCGTGCATATACAATGCATTACGGTAGCCACCGGGATTCCCTGTCTTGAGCGCAATGAATCACAACACAGATTCAGAGACGTGCTGAGTTTGTCATCCAAAATGCTCCGTTTTATAACTTTTGAATGGCTGATCAGATTAAAAAAATTCCAACGGTTCCTAAAAGTACATAAAAGCAGCTTTCCAACGATCTATAGCATGAAGCAATCAGAGTTATGGAAAATATCGCTACAAGGGGAAATCCTGCTGTACAGCCTGATTGAAACGGAGCGCAGCGCCGCGGTGAAAGCGGATAATGGAACGGGGAAGCTAATTAGCATAAAATGCCTCAAAGAAAACCAACACGATCTATTTGGTGTCCCAGAAGGCTTATATCTGAAGACAGTGCCCACGAAGAAGGACAGATCTCCGGTGAACCAGGATATGAACGTTTGTTCAGTCTTTTTTTTAATTTTTTTTATTTGAACAACCCTCAACTATTTGCTAATTATAAGATTCAGCTTCATTCCAGCATTATTTATCTTTTTACAGTAAATAATTATATTTGCTAAAACAAAAGTTTTTGGCATAGCAGTGCACGGTGTGCCAGAGAAGCACCCCATGGCAGTGTGAGGTGTGCAGGACTCTGCCTGCAGCTGGAGAGAAACTGCTTCAAGGTCTACCACATCAAATAAAAATGTCAGAAAGTTTACAAAAATAAATGGCCCTAAAAACTGCTAAAAAAGATACCAAGGTTCAAACTTTTTTAAGAATAGATGCATTACAGTTCAAAGTTGCCCAGCAATTTTGAAGTTCCTGTTCAGTAATAAATGTAAAAAATTCTAATCTGTTATTTGCTTTTTTCACTTTTAAGCTGATTTTTTAAAGGCTTGAATAGAAATAAATTCTAAATACACTGAACAATGTTCTGAGAAAGGAGAAGAGTTACACACACTTTGTGCTTTTTATTACAATTTTACAGCCATAAGATTAAAAAAATACCAGGCGGCCCTGTTATAATTATGGTCATAAGAGGATTATTAAGACGGCGATGCACAAACAGTAAGTGATTGGTAGTCGTTCCACTCCAATCCAGTTGGTGGCAGTAATGCACCAAATTGTTGTTTGCCAGGTGCCATAACACCACAAATAAGAAGGAGGAGAGAGGCGGCAGCGTTCGTAACAAACTCAAAGCAATAGTCAAAACATGAAGCATGAAATGGAGTTATCCTAGTGGCTCCAATAAGAGAAAGAAGCAGCTTGCTTCATAAAAGCTTTTATCTTCACTTCTGAAAGTGACATCGTTTCTCTATGTAAACATCAAAAGGAAGCAGAAAGGAAAGACAATGGAAAATGTTTCAAGGGAGGAAAACATAGACCAAAATGGAAAATAGGAAGAAAAAAAAACTAAGGCTAAAGCACAGGAGCGCTGACAGGAAAAAGAAAGCAGGGCAAATATAGAAAGCGCTCAAAGGGAGGGAAAAACAGGAAAAAAGAGGAGGACTAATAAAAAGGGAAAATAAGAGGAGAGAGTTTCGTAAATCCAGTTAAAGGTAAGATTGTCGAAAATTTAGTGTAAGGGGCCCCATGTCTGTGTTCGCCTTGGGCCCCCAAATTGCTAAATCCGCCCCTGCTAAACGACCTCCCTGATGCCGCACGGCTATGCGGCATCTTGACAGCGCTGTTTTGTAAAAAAAAAAAAAAGGCTTTAAGCCAAAGAAAGGCTCGTTTTGTGTTTTTGTCTAAAATGTTCAGGACAAATCAGAGTCTGGCTTTCACTTTACCACTGTACACAGTAGCCTTTCACTCATTTTCTGTTTAATTACTTTAAACATTTGGCGGCGGAAAAAAAACACCCCCGTGAGTAAAATCTTAAATTTTCATTATAAAGAAAGCCTTGTGTACCTTTAATTAGACTAAAGTCAGCCTGAATGCTGGTTTTAATATGCTTAAAGTTCAGATTCATTCACGGTAAAACGCTTTGTTTTAAATAAATAAACTAGATCATTATATTAAACTGTTAGGTGCAGGACTGTGGACAGCTAGTTAAAGGGTGAGATTAACTGGAAAGCCCAAACTAGAGCAGTTTACCTGCTCCAAATGCGCGCGCCAGCAGCGCGGAGGCGCAGCAGAGGGCAGCGATCATCTGAGCGGCGGTCATATTAAATCCAGACAGAAAACATCCAGGAATCACGGCTGATGACCGACAGACGGGATGCAAACTGCGGACAGCTCCGAAGAAACGGCCGGGAAGAGCACGAGCAGCGATTGCTGCCGGAGCGCATTCAATCACCCTCTTTACGCCAGGTATCAGCTGGGAGCCGAGCTGCGCGCGCATGCGCGACATGGAGCAAGAAACCACAAAACATGTGTCCTTCATCCGCTCCTCCAGGAAGTAGTCCGGCTCTAAATGAGTCTGTGAATCATTAAGCTGATTATGTGAACGATAATGGCTTTATACGACAACAAACTACACAAAGTGCACGAGAGCAGAGAAAGTCCAGAAAAATCACTTTGCGTGTGCGCGCGTGTGTGATACACTTCCCATTATTGAACTGCTGGTGAAAAGTAGCTACTCACTACTATTGAGGTCAGAGATCTAGTCTGACCTCGCGCTCCGGTTCCACTTCTATAGGAGCAAATGTCTTTTCCACAGCCACGAGTCACACCAGGTAGCCATACCACACCGTGAGCGTTTTCTCCATTAACACAAGGATTCAGGTGAAACAGGTGAGAAAGCCCCCACCTTAGAGCAGACTAAAAATGTTTGTACACACTTGACTGATAGCGAAGCACCTTCATTTTTTTCAAAAAGTCTACATTTCTTTAGTTTCTAATTCTCCAGCCTTCATTTTACTCTGCACTCTCCATCTCCTATCAAATTTGTCTGTGCTGTGCTGTTTCTTCGTGGTGTGCCCACTCCTGTCAAATTCAGCCACATGCACAGATGACAGCTGGGTCCAGCAGGACTCCAGTATCATTGCAGGGCTCCACTCAGGAGCTCAGAGACTCACAAGACATCAATCTGAACTTAAACGGGTCACAGGAAGCCGGAATTTACACGACTCAACTTGTGTTTGGATATCCGACGGTTGTTACACAATCAATCATATCTGATTGTCTGAAACACTAGTGGTTACAGCAGTGACTCTCTCTTTACACTTCTCTAATACGTTGTATACCTGTTGTATCATTACAAAGTTGACTAGGTCTTGGGTGGGGGCTGTCCCAGCGGCAGTCTCCCAGGGGTCTCCACGCTCTGGTGGGACCTCTGGGTGTCTGGAGCTTCAATCTCCATCCTTTGCAGATCTTTGGGGGCGGGTTGTTGACCCCTCATGTTCACTATTGAATGCTCCTGTAGAGAAACCCCATTTACACAGGCACTTGTACACACACACACACACACACACACACACACACACACACACACACACACACACACACACACACACACACACGTGGCTTTTTTTGACCCATAACCTAAGGCCCTGTCCACACGTAGACGGGGATCAGCCAAAACGTAGATATTTGTCTACGTTTTGGCCTGTCATCCACACGAAAACGGATCTTTTTAAAAACTCCGGCCAAAGTGAAGATCTGCGTTTTCTCCGTTTTGGGTGTCTGCGTGTGGACAGACAAAACCGGAGTTTTAAGGTCCGCAACGTCACTTTCCGCGACAAAAAATGCTGACATCACGTGTGCGGCCTGTGTTTACACTAGCCGACATCATGGATGCCCTCAGAGCCGCGCTCGCTTTATCAATCGTCCAAGCGCTTTTTGCTTGTTTGTTTTTGCAAGTGGAATTACTGCTCCTTGCGGAAGACCACAGGAAGACGAAAAGTTACGCTAACTGGATACAATTCGGGGGAAGTACTGCCGCCTACAGGCCTGGCATGTCCTTAACAACATATTTATCCGGGTACGTGTGGACAGAGTTTTTTTAAACGAGGTGGTGTGGATGCAAGTTTTTGGAGGGGCGGATATTCGTTTTTTATAAAACCCCGGCTACGTGTGGACTAGGCCGAAGGCTGTGGTTGGCACTAAATGCACTATAATTATGACCGTGTGCTTTTCAGCCAAAAAAAAAAACTGAGTTGGCAGCCTCATATGTTGCAACTCTATTCAAACACAGATGTTTTGTAAAGATCTGAAGGAAATCTGTGTTTGTGCCAAGTTACAGAAGTCTAAGGAACATCTGCAGTTTCAAATCGGTTTAATACAGACAACCCACAAGCAGAGACATTAACTCCTGTTTAGCTTCAAATGATTTTCAGTCCGAATATTGGTTTTTAGCTTTTATTGAAAAACAAACATTAAAAAGTAAGTTTGACAAGCAGCCGCACCGTATCATCAATGTAATTAAACGAGAAGGGCAATTTAAAAAAACATTTTCCTGCTAAGACATTTGGACTGAGCTACAAAATATCATACAAACATACACAGATCCACAGGAGCATTTACATCATGTCAACAGATTATATACACCTGCTTAAATACGAATTATTATCAGCTCATCTCAGTGTAGCACTTGTGAAATATTTTTACTCATCAGCCTGCAATTGATTTCATTACTAGAGACGGAGGAAGTGTGTTTATGAAGGCAGAGAACAAAGGCACAGGACCTGATCCAGCTCACCAGACCGCTGCTGATGAGGCTAGACATCAGAGTCTTTTAAAGGGACTTCCGGCTTTTTACGTGTTCCTGTTAACAAATTATAAATAATCACCATCTTGCCTGAATTAGCCTAAATCAAAGAGTGTTGCTGCCATCAGAAAATAGCTGCAATCTCATCGTTTTAAAACAGCTTGTGTATAAATTCATACAGGTATTACCCACCGTGTCAGCACTCCCTGTCCATCGAGGGTCATCAGCAATTTATTACAAGAATAGTTCAAAACCTTTGAAGTGGGTTTTCGTGGAAAGGTTATTAACAATCACCGTCTTACCCGTTCGAGATAGCTCTTTGTACGGTCTCGACTTGGCGAAACAGAAAAACTTGGACAGACTGATTGATGAGCTAACAGCTAGTCGTGTTTTGTTTCTGCCACTTTCTAACACTTAATCCCAACCCTGTTACTATTATGTTTCTGAGCCCTGACACAGTAGATTTCACATTATACGGTTATTTAGAGAGACTTCTGTGGTCATTTGCTGTAAAAACTACGGTTATCCCAGCAGAGTTCTGAACATCCAGACAAACGATTGGGCAAATATTGATTTCCTGTTCTCGTACAACTCTGACCTTCTGTTAACACGTTAGGCTAATTTTGACTCATCTCAGGAGCAAAATATTAATAGAAAACAATAATATTTACTAAAAAGTGATCTTTCAGGGAGCAAAAACACCCGTTATTGTGGAATGAGTGCTCTGATGTGAATTCATAGTGAGAGGCGAGTTTTGACTGGAAACTCTCAGATACGGATGACAGGCCAATCACTAATTAAACCGATCATGCTGAATACCGGACTACTCTGATGATCAGCTGATTTCTGGGGTGCATTTCTACTTCATGACCATCTTAAGGTTACAATAGAAGATGAGCACCAACTGCTGGAGTAGTTTTCGGACACTTGGCAGCTAACTGGTCCCGTTACGACGGCTGCAGAACCCGCTTAAACACCTCTGAATGGTCCTTTTAAAGGAAACTTCATAAACGAGGTTTTATGAAAGCGCTGGAGCCATTTTCACAAGGCTACACGCAAACTAGCCGTTAGCCCACCACTCTTGCAAGATGTAAATGGAGACCTCTCACAAAGCCCACAACGTTTGTAACTTCCACACAAACACACGGTTCAAACGGTTGAAATATTCCTGTAAAACTTTGACTAAAGCCCCGTTTCCCCTGGTTTGACATTATTTTAACAATCACCATCTTTAAGGTATAATTTTGGGGTCAGCCTCTGTTGTTGAGACCCGTCTGTTGTTTAAGTCTCTGGAATGCACCAAGGGCCTACAAATACAAGAATTTGCATACTAGTACATCTGAATGCTTTCGGTTTTAGGGCGTGTCGCAACAGAACCGGTTGAGTTGGTAAACCTAGTCACAGCATGTTTGTTAGCTTAGCACGAGTGACTCGTCTGTGAGCAAAAATCAACAGAGGCAAGACCGTGGTGTATCACTCAGGGGAAGGAGCAGAGGAACAGATGTAGGAGTGACACCGGGGTGCTGCATAGATCTCAAGGGGGGCGTTGCTCCAATACAGACGAAACTCTTTTTTGTTACCAGGTCAGAAAAAAGTGCATCACTACCTGGTTTTACTCGGCGTTAACTCACATGCACACATTCGGTCTGAGCTGCTGAAATACATTCTGATAAATACTGATTGCTCTCGTTGTGTACTTTGCCTCGACGCCGGCCCAAAACTCCACTGAACATTCAGGAGAGATGCAGATAGACAGATCTTCACCAGGAATGGGGTGGAGGAGTTCTAGCAAGAGCAGGCAGGTAGCTGCCCTCCTATCACCCACTTTACATCCTGAAGGGAACAGCAATAGGATAAACACGATGGAAGGAGGTTGGAGGGGGTGGTGTGTGTGTGTGTGTGTGTGTGTGTGTGTGTGAATAGGTCAGCCCAGGTCGGAGGACGTCCCACTGATGGCACGAAACACATGAAGGGAGTTCTGCAGCAGCGAACGCATCATGTCCTCCTGGTAGATCTGGAAGGTCCAAAGGAAAAACACAATTACAATAAAACAGTCTTCACCATCATGACCACTCCGAGCTAACACAGTTAAAGGGACTTTACGGACTTTTGAATTTTTATGCTCGTGATCGCCCCCTCAGGCCAAAAGCGTAACAACAGCTTCAATAGTAGGCTCGTGCACGAGGCGCGCATGCTGTACGTGCACACTCCTTAACAAAAACAACAGCTGAGACAGTCCCGTGTGTGTGTGTGTGTGTGTGTGTGTGTGTGTGTGTGTGTGGCCCAGAGGACAGAAGAACACAGCAAATTAATAAAATAATGTGCCTCTGTCTCTGCAGCTGCACTTTCTCGTCGGCCGGCCGAACGTGCAGTGTGTGTGAGTGTGTGTGTGTGTGTATGTGTGTGTGTGTGTGTGGCCCGGAGGACAGAGGACAGGAGAACGCGCAGCTAATTAATTAAATAATTTGGTTCTGTACCTTTCTCTTCAGCACAGCCGACAAAGGTTTATGATGGGTCAGTCCTCCTGCATGCTCAGATCATTCCCTTCCCTTGCTTGAAAAATTGTTCCAAAATGAAAGTTGAACCCACATCTTTTTTATCTGTGAGTTCAATGCTGTTCGGCGAGTCTCAAATAAAAATTTGGGCATCTTACTGTAAAAAAAAATACCATTAATGTAAAAAAGAAACTCTAAATAACAAACTATATTCACACCTGGAAATCGAACCCAGGTCTTCAGCCTGAGAGTCTGACGTCTTACTAGGTGAGCTAAAGCACCAGTAACATTAGATGTATCTAACATTTATATCCTTGATGACAGCTGAAACAACGTCAAACCAAAGAACGGTTCGGAGTGAAAATGGCTATTTTGTTGCTAATTTGCAGGAAATATCTAGAAGAAAGTTCTACAGAAAGTAGCTAAGGGTCCTCAGAAATGTAGCTAGCTTTGTCACTAGGCGTTAGGAACAGCGACAAAGTGGCACTGCCTCTCTCTCTGCTGCTAAAGCTACGGATAGCAAATGCTACGGGCGATGCCTGAGCGTGAACGCGCATGAAGCAGCCTGCTCGACCCGAGCATCTCTCTTTTTCTGTGATTTTACAGAAAAACAGGCAATCACAGTAAAAATGCCAGGGCTCATTCTACAGGACCAGGGCATTGCAGGAGAACGTATGAAGAAGACATTTATTATTTCTATACGTGTTTGGGCTGTCACACTTCCTTATAGTCCCTTTAATACATGCTAGCTCAGGCCTTTTCACCATGCTAACAAATCCAACCATTAACCCAAAACGAAGTCAAAGTTACATTTAGTGCATGCATCAATAATAATCCTCTCCCAGTTTTAAATGGCCTCCAGATCATCAAATGTCCTCATTGCTGCCTTATTACAACTGCTTCAATCCCTTAATTTCAGTTTCATGCAAATGCTGTCTAAACCTTTCACAACACGAACGTCACAAGGACAGTTTCAGCAGCAGCACTTATTATAACACATCACTTCCTGATCATTTAGAACAGAGTATAGAGAGACTAGAAGAGTCAAAGAAAAACGTAGAAGTTGACATCCTTTGAAGATGTCCCTCAGAAGACCTATGGGGACTGCTGAACTGCTGTATAAAGGCTTGTTAATGACCTAAGGCATGTCCTTCTAGAAGAGTGGGACATCAGGCCTCAGCAGACCATCAAAGCACGAGACGTTGTTGAGAAGCTGTAGTTGATGCTCGATATCGCGTGACAAGTTTATGAGACACTGATGTTTTTGTGGATGTTGACTCTGCAGTCTGGCTTTAGTTGCAATAAACTATTTAAGATGAGGAAATCATCATTGCATACTTCTACCTAAATGTCCTACTTTCATGAAATAACACTGCTGCAGCAGTAAGCCAAATATCCTCAAGACTAGGGATGTAAGAAAATGTCGATTATGGCAATATATCGTGATATTTTCCCCAGCGATATTACATCGATATTCAAAAGCTGTGCATCGAAAATATCGATATCACAATATATCGTGATATTTCCCCCCAGCAAAATTATATCGATATTCAAAAGCTGTGTATCGAACATATCGATATCGCAATATATCGTGATCTTCCCCCAGCGATATTATATCGATATCCAAACGCTGTGTATCAAAAATATCGATATCGCAATATATCGTGATATTTTTTCTTGTAAAAATGTATCGATATTCAAAAGTCATGTATCTTTTTTTTGGAAGAATTTACATGGAAACATTTGTGTATTTTCTTTTCTTGTGGTGCAATTCAAACGCCGACCACTAGTTGGCAGCAGTGTGTAATGGGTTTTGTTTCTACCATTGAAATGTAAATCCCTCTGTTAACGGTTAAACATGTTAAGTATCAGTTTGGACTGTTTATTGAATTTTCCTATAATAAATTTAGTCTAAAAATCGCCAATATCGTCTGACTGAATATATCGCAATATATCGTGATATATTGTATCGTCTCCCCTGTATCGTAATACGTATTGTATCGCCAGAATTTCACCAATACACATCCCTACTCAAGACCGTCTTCAAATGGCTCCAAAAGCCAATATTTTCTTAGCAGTTCAGGAAATGTATTCATATGTGGTTGCAAATGAACGCCTCTGTGAATGTTTTCATTACACGTTTATTTTGGCAAAAATATCAAATAATTGCAGCTAACCTTATTGCCAGTGGCGTCAGAAGAGCTACATGTCGCTGAGGATGGCGACAGATAAAAAGGATCAGATGAAGTGATTGTGTGATGGGGTGTAAAGGCTTATAAAATTACATAAGTATTATAAAATCTAGAGTATTTGAGCTGTCTGAAGACAGGGTGCTCTTATACTAGCTGTTAGCTCATCAGTCAGAAGGTAGTAGGATGTTGGAAACACAGACAATGAAACAAAGCATGCTTTTTGACAAACATGCAACACACACACACACACACACACACACACACACACACACACACACACACACACACACACACACACACACACACACACACACACACACACACACACACACACACACACACACACACACACACCAGGGTAACAACATAAACAAACCAAAACCATGAGTGTGTAACATTAAAGGTCTAACGTAGCTGTTAAGAGTCTGGAGGTGTGACGGTAGGAGTGACAGTAGCACGACGTCATAAACAATCCTCCTCTGGTCCCGCCTCCTACTTAAGGAGACAGGTTGTGCAGCTACAGCTGCATGACTGCATGTTTAGAAGCCATCTGCTTCCATTAGGATCTGGGTGCTGGCGCCACGTCCTCAGACAGACCGTGGTTTTGAATACGCTTTCCCATGTGTGGCTATGCAAACACCCAACCCTTAACCAGGACAGCAATGTAATCACTATTTGATTTAAGGTAGGGATGCACCGATACGATACTGGCACCGGTATCGGCACCGATATCGATACCAATATCAGTGTCGGTATCGGTAAAAGTTAACCGATACCAGGAACCGATACCAATGCAGTTGCTTGAAAGTGGCTTCATTGTAACTTGTCATTTCTGTTCAACTATTTTAGTTTTGTGATGATTTCCATTCATATATTTTACTTTTTATCTACCTCAAAGTCTTTTTCTGTTGAAAGCAGAGAAAAAAATAAAATCTGTATTCCAAATCATTGCATTTTTTGGTGTGGTAGAAGTATCGGTATCGGTAATCGATATCGACGAGTACCCAGATCCAAGCATCGGTATCGTATCGGTTTGGAAAAAAGTGGTGTTGTTGCATCCCTAACTTAAGGCACCTCTCGTTTGCACGTGTACAACATGATGAGTAGTGCCAGTGTTGGCTGAGATCCAAGGCTTTTTGTGTTTCCGACAGGATCGTCGGAGGAGGAAATCAACGAGAGCCAAACACCTCCCAGCTGTCCACTTGAACAGAAAATCCTCAACTTCATGGCTGCTCCACCAACATCCCTCCACATGAACCCTTCAGCTTTTGTGTTCATCTATAATTGATCTGGACGGAGACGTAAGCCACAAAACAAGATAAATGGGTGAAACAGAGAGATTTTTACCTGTTGCTCCTTAAAGCTAAGGGCCAGCCCATTGGGAAGAAAAACAACAGTAGCACAGTTAGTTCAGTCAAAGCAAAGGTCAGATGTCAGCCAGTAAATATAAACAGTACTGGTGATCTGAGGTTTTCATAGCTGATTTCACCTCTTCATCCAGGATGAAATCGTAATGCAACAAACAGCTTGTAGGATTATTTAGAGGCACCGGTGCACGCAGCCTCACCTCCGTCAGTGCGGCCCAGGGCGGCCGCGGCTACAACGCAGCTCGTCTCCATCAGTGTGTGAACGTTTGGAGTTGTCTGACTCAGAAAGGTGCTGTACAAGTGCAGGTCTTAATTCTTTCTGCCTCAAATGATCAAAGTTATACAAACTCCCCCAATTATGCTTTAATATATTTAAGGATCCTGTTGCAAGCTCTCGCATGCCAGAAACAATGGAGGTAATAAACATACATACAGTCATAAGGAGCGCAAAGATAAGCGAGAGCCTGTTGCTGCGAGTGGAATCAGGCAGGTGATAAGGAGGAGTGGTCCAACTGGAGACATCTCAGGATGTGAAAGTCCTCCGTGGACGAGTTTTGGACTTTGGGTGAAACCGAAACCAGCTTACAGATATAACGATCATATGGGTTTGGCTGAGATATATAACTGACAAATGATCACATGCAAAAGTGCAAATCAAAGAAAGTGCTCATTTTAATTTAGCACATGCAAGCAGCCGGCACCACAAAGAATTTTTTCAAATCCATACCCCCTCATCATGGTAACTACACGTATGAGTTCATATGATGCCGCATTTCAGTTGAAGGCATCGATCTGGCAGTAAAGGAGGGAAACAGCGCTGCCGCACGTTAGCTTGGCATGAATGAATCCATGGTTCGGCGCTGGAGACGGCAGCGGGAAGAACTCATTCACGCCAGCTTCACCCGGGGATGATGACAGCAACACGGACATCGCCACAGAAAAGGTATGTGATGAAGCTCTTCTGAGGCTGTTCAGCTCCAACACTGAAGAAGAGGACTTTAATGGCTTTAGTGCGCAGGAGGAAGATGAGAGCAAATGACTTCTTCTAATAGGCAAGTGTGTTTTATTTACTAACCAGGCATGTTTTGTGTGCAGTTGTTATTTTCTAATCATCCAGGGCTTATTAATGCTGTGTCAGCGCTGTTCTTTTCTTCTAAACATGCAAATGACCGGTAATAACGTGTCAGTGCTGTTTTTATTTTATAACATCCAGAAATATGAATGCTATCAGTGCTGGTTTCTTTTCTAAGCATGCAGGCACGTTCACCCGTGTTTAAAATTCCTTTTGTTGAATTAAAACAACAACGAAAAACCTTCGTGTAACATCTTCCTGTCTAATTATCGTACGTTATGGCCGTGCATGCGCTGTGCGCCGGAGACCTGCATGAGGCTGCTGCGCCGCGGCTTGTATTCGAGTGTGGTGTGTGTGTGTGTAGAAAACCTTTTTTTTGTTGGTGCGGCTTATATTGAGGTGCGCTCTATAGTCTGGATATTACGGTAATTTCACTCTGGAAAAAGAACGGTTGAAATCAATCATTAAAACTGCAAACTAAACGTGACCTCGTGGCAACGTAATCTCCATCTCTGGTTGGTTCTATTCTCATCGAGCTATTTTGGTACATTTGGGTTTAAAGGACCAAACGGCAGGCGACTGCGAGACATTTGATATGATGGATGGAATCAGTTTACCAGGAAACATTCAACAGGAAATTCAGTTTGGAATCATTGCTGGATGGTAAATGAACCGTTTCCTGCTGAGTCATTATGGCTCGCCTAAGTCGGATCATAAGCAGAGTTGAACATTAAGCTGCTGAAACGTGACGAAGGCTGCTGAGTGACGTAGACGTGGGTGAGAGGGAGCAGAGTGCACACGTCTACCAACATCGCCCTCATCAGCGTCCGCTGCGTCGACACGAAAACCTAAAGTCAGAGAGAATCCACCTCACTGCAACACACACACACACACACACTCGCACACAAGCGCGCACACACACACACACGCACACTCGCGCACGCACGCACGCACACACACACACACACACCATCTTCAGCAGCCTCGCCTCTGTCAGTGTGCCCCAGGGCAGCTGTGGCTACATCGTAGCTCATCCCCACCAGTGTGTGAATGGGTGAATGACTGATGGTGCTGTAAAGCGCCTTGGGGGGCTTGGAGAACTCTCTGAGGCCCCTGTGGCCATGTTTTTATGGAAGCAGTGTCGTGTCGGAGCTTCAGCTGAAAAGCCGAGTGAGAGTTTAGCTCTACCTGCTCATGGATGATGTCTGACAGCTCCTTCACCATCTCTTTGAAGTTGGACTTCAGACCTTCATGGTACTCCAGCTGGTCCTCCTTAATGAGCCTCTCGTTGATGTCCAGGGCCATGCTGCAAGCCTCCACGAAACGCCTGCACGTGTTAGCAAAAACCAGCAGGATAAACTGGGAGCACTCGTCAAATCAACAAGAAGCTTCCTTGTTTGGTTAATGAGGTCAAAGGTCACCTGAAGATGTCTTTGAGTTCTTTGGCTTTCTTGCTGCCTGATGGGTTTGGTTTGCTGTCATCCAGGAATGCTCTGGCGTACGCCATGGGGCCCGCGTTCACCTGCGGCAAGACAACATACCTGTGACTGTCGAGCGTCTTGGCAACAACCAGAGAGGACAACAGCCTTCCTGTCAGGACCACAGAGCAGTCCATCAACACCGACCTGGACAGAGACACAGCCCTGCAGTTTGAGCTGCAGCTGGATCATGTCCACCTCCTGGCTGGAGCACAGCTTCGCGAGCTCCGCCGTCCGAGCCTTCATCTCGTCGATGGCCACGTCCACGGGCTTCAGCTCCGCCTGCTTCTCCCCCACCACCTCGATGCGCTTCTTCACATAAGGGAAGGTGTGGGCAGCTGGAGGAGAGAGAGCAAGCAAGCTGTTCGGATCAGGAGAGGAAACAAGAGAGAACAAGCCGAAAACAGCAAACAGAAGCAACATTTCTCAGATGCTAGCTCACGCTCGGCATCGAAGGTCTCCGAGTCCATGAAGGAGTTTACGTCAACGTTCATGTCCTACAGATCTTACGGTGTGACTGCTACACCAGGGTATCTGCAGGTTTAAGGGAGCCAAATTTAAGACTTTTTAAGGCCACTTTGACCAAATTTAAGCTATTTAAGCAGGGCAGCAGTAGCTCAACAGGTTGGGTGGGTAGTCCAGTAATCTGAAGGTTGCAGGTTCGATCCCGGCTCCGGACAGAGAATTCTGCTGTTGTGTCCTTGGGCATGACAAGTAACCCACCTTGCCTGCTGGTGGTGGTCGGAGGGACCGGCGGCGCCTCTGTCAGCGCGCCCCAGGGCAGCTGTGGCTACATCGTAGCTTATCACCATCAGTGTGTGTGTGAATGGATGAATGATGCACTGTAGTGTAAAGCCCCCAATTATGGGGAGGGTGGCTGCTTATACTGAGCCAGGATTCTCTGGAGGTTTCTTCCTGTTAAAAGGGAGTTTTCCTCTCCACTGTCGCTGCATGCTTGCTTAGTATGAGGATTGCTGTAAAGTCACTGACACTAGTCAGTGACTTGATGCAATTTGCTGGGTTCCTTATATAGGAAACATTATTTCTGATTGGCTTAATGAACTGTGAATTGGAATGTTTATTATGTGAAGTGCCTTGAGACGACTCTTGTCGTGATTTGGCGCTATATAAATACACTTGAATTGAATTGAAAGCGCTTTGGAGTCCTTACTCTGACAGGTGCTATACAGGTGCGGGCCATGTATCATTTTTAAAAATTAAAGCTATAATTTCCAGCTATTGCCTGGAACCGGTGCTAACCACGCCGCGATCGTGGGATTAGCCATCCAGCTACCATTAAACTTCCACGTCCCCATGGCGCAAGCTCCCACTAGCTTAACCAGCTAATGTGCTCATCTAAAAATAGTCCCCTTTCACAACCAACTGCATGTGTACGGTTCCGCTGATGCCAACATCGTACACAAAAAATGCTGAACACCGACTAGAAATTCATGAAAATTGAAATAAAAGAATCTTGTTTATTGGGTCTTTGGTAAATTAAGACCTCTGGAAACTGTATTTGAGGATTATTTGTCATTTTTAAGGATTTTTAAGGCCTTAAATTTGGAAAAGCTAATTTAAGACTTTTTAAGGACCCGCAGATACCCTGTAAACAGACGTACCGGCACATGACTGTTAGCAGTGGCAGCCATTTTTATTTGGACCAATTCCGATATTTAATCATTTGTTGGTGTAAACAAAGAGAATTGTGAGTTTCAGTAAAATCCATCCAGCGGATCATCAGATTTTCAGGAAACAAACACAATAAAGTAAACAGAGCAGAAGCGAAAGCATCAGCTCGCTGCTGCAGGACTGTGACTCGATCCAGGTGAAGAACCGAGCATCCAGCTGTTGTCCTTAAGCAGGTCACAGATCAGTGTGTGAGAGGTCACAAGCCACAGGGATGCATTAATGACGGTGTGGGCCATACTTGTGAGGACGGTCCTCCTCTTGCACTGCTCCTCCACGCCACCGTGCTTTTTGCCCGACATCGTGTATGGCGTCTCAAACACGAAACGGCTGATGTTGTGACATTTCTCAAAATCCGTCTTCTTCTCCGGCGCCTCCTTCTCATCGAAGTATGGCTTTACGAAGGTCACCTGGATGTGAGCTAACCTGGAGTCCAGCTCTTTGGGGTTCACCTGTAAAGCAAAGGTCAGCTTTAAGCAGGGTACTGGCCAGAAGCTGGTAAAGTAGCCATGCCATCTTGTTGTGGGGTGGGTGGAGTCACGTGCTGCCGTTCGAGTAATCGTTATGTTGTGGTATAAAGGCTGACAATTTGGCTTTAAGTGACAGAAAAGGTTAAATCACATGGATCATCAGCGATGGGAATAACGCGTTACTAAAAAAAAAATTCTTTCAGTAACGAGGAAACTAATTAATTACGTCTTCTTTTATCAAAACGTCGTTTCTGTTACTGATAAGGAAAAGCGTGCGTTAAGTGGCGCGGTGTGTTGACGCTGTCATCAGCTGATCAGGAGCTGAAGAGGCAGATGTTTTCATCCAAGAGCATCACGGCCGTGAAGAACGAGGAAGACGTGATGAATATCTACGGCTGCAGGCGTGAATCTGCAGCCGTGCCCTTCTTAGCGTGACAGCGGGACGTCCCGAAGGTCCGCTCACCTGTTCACCGCTCAGACGTCCTGATCTTCTACCTTCCTAGATCATCCAGCTGTAACCTGTTCCTGATCATGTCTTTAGTCCCGCTGTAACACTGATGCATCAGTCTCAGACGTCATGGAGCTCAGGTGTTATCAGAACTACCTGTGTGTGTTTACCACCCAGCTTCAGCTCTTCTGTGGTTGGGTCTGACCCACGTTAGTAAATGTAAGTCCTCCATCAGGCTTGTGCCTCTTCTAGTGTCATTTTAAAGGATTTTATTTATTTATTTATTTAACCATTACTAGATTACCAGCAACAGAAATGCTGCTAAAAACACACAATTATGTGAAGCTGGAAAAATTAAAAAACTGTACAAAATTACATTCATTTCTGTAATTTAACTAGACTGAGAGACCATCTAAAGGCTCGGGAAACTTTACAGGTGTTTCTATTTGCAGTTTTAAATTTTAGCTGATTGGGGTCTTGTTAAATATTACACAGTGACCTTTTCATAGTCTAGATTAGTGTAATGTTCCTGTTAGTAGTTCCTCCTGTTAAGTACTTATTTATTTAAATTATTCAGGTTTATAAAAAACATTTGGACATACATTTTATTATGTTCCAGTCATTTATATTTCACTATTGTAGTAATTCTTGCATGCTTTAATGAAAAAAGTAACTAAGTAGTTATTTTTCTTGGTAATTAGTTACTTTTATAATCTCGTAACTCAGTAACTGAGTTACTTTTTTGACAAAGTAATCAGTAACTATAACTAATTACTTTTTTAAAGTAACTTTCCCAACACTGCGGATCATAAGTCAGGCTTTATTTCATTAAACGGAGTCGGCGTCCAGCTTTTCTAACATCTCTGAAGAAAGCAGAACGACTTTAGCCGTAGGGCTAAAAACCTAAAAGACTCCTTCACGTGAACATTTCTGTACCTCATCCTGCAGAAAAGATATCATCTAATGAATACACCAGTGGTGAGGCTGTGATGCCAGCTGCCCACTTTAACTACCAAACCTGCTGTCCGTCTGCCCCACCTTGTTGGAGTCCTGGATGATCCGGACGTTTTCTTGGCCAAACTTCTCCCCGTAGAGCGTCAGCAGCCGCTGGGAGATCTCCGACAGGCCGGTGAGTTTGGGCTCTTTGTAAATGTACTCCCTCCCATCCTCTTCTTCGAAGAAGGCCTGCTCAGAGAACAAATAACTAATAATAAATATAACGGTTTCATACATCAAGAGACACCATATAACACACACATTCACACACACACTGTTTAGCAGAAGATAAAAAACTTTTCCACTCCTAAATGATCTAGTATTTGGAGTATCAGTCAACTCCACTGGTCAGCCATGACCTTAAAGAAGCAACTGATGTCCATTCACCAGGGAAGGGTCAAAGGTCATCATTAAACTAGGGATGTAAGAAAATGTCGATTATGGCAATATATCGTGATATTTCCCCCAGCGATATTACATCGATATTCAAAAGCTGTGTATCGAAATTATCGATATCGCAATATATCGTGATTTTTTTCTTGCAAAAATGTATCAATATTCAAAAGTCGTGTATCTAATTTTAGGAAGAATTTACATGGAAACATTTGTGTATTTTCTTTTCTTGTGGTGCAATTCAAACAACGACCACTAGTTGGCAGCAGTGTGTAATGGGTTTTGTTTCTAACATTGAAATGTAAATCCCTCTGTTACGGTTAAACATGTTAAGTATCAGTTTGGACTGTTTATTGAATTTTCCTATAATAAATTTAGTCTAAAAAATCGCCAATATCGTCTGACTGAATGTATCGCAATATATCGTGATATATTGTATCGTCGCCCCTGTATCGTAATACGTATTGTATCACCAGAATTTCACCAATACACATCCCTACATTAAACAATGGGAAGTCTATTACTCCACAAACAGTGGAAAGTATTTAGGACTGCAGAGATCCCAGCAAGTTCACCCAAGGGTCAGAGGTAAATATTCAGAGGAAAGATTTTCCTACTCTACAGCTTCATGTGAGACTTTTCAGCCGGGGGTTAGAGGTTAAAGGTCATGACAGACCCCCCCCCCAAAATAACCCCAGAGCTCTGTAACAACCTCACCTGTCCATAAAAACCAACCCTGAAGTAGGTCCCGAGCAGCCTGCGGCCAGACTGGATCACCTCCATGATTTTGATGTAGGCGCGGTGCAGCGTGTCGTACAGTCGGCTGAGTTTCTGAAAAACAAAACATCTCATCATAGCAGGATGTCCATTAAAGGTGCGGAACACTGAAACCCTTTTTTAATCATTATTTCTGATTATAGTCAATCAGATTTTTGTGCAGGCTGAACTTAAAATAGTCTCCTACACCTATCTCCTGCTTTAGCTTCTGACAGAAAACAGACGGTGAAACTCTAGGATTAGAAAATCCTGACAGGTCTACGTCACGCTGTCACTAACACTCATGGACTCACTCATCCTGACTCACGGTAGGAAAGGTTGTTGTTGGTTTAGCGTCCAGGAAACAGCAGAGAACCTCTCGGCTAGCAGAAGCTAACTGTTAGCATTATCAACCGCACCACACAGCAGAACTCCTCAAGGCTTGTGTTATTTGTGGAGGTAAAACATCCACTCTGCTAAAAAAATGGAGTCAGTGGTAGAGACGTGTCGCCGTTAGCAAATCAGAGTTGAAATGTTAAAATATCAGGAAATAATAGTCCGGATCCCGCCGTCTGAAGCTACTTTTGCCTTCAGCTGTGTACTTCCTAATTATGGCGAGTCTAAAGCTCTGTACATGTAGGGGACAGAGGCATTATGGGTAGAATGATGAAGTTTTAAAATAACATGGAGAAATAATGAGGTGTGTGTGTGCAGGTTTGTGTGTGTGTGTGTGTGTGTGTGTGTGTGTGTAAAGGACTAGTAAAACAGGAAGTAACCCAGATTACTGTTACGCCCCGGCTCGAGGGATTGCAACATTAGGTGGAGGTTCAGAGACTTTGTGGGAGATGAGTGTTTTTCACAATAAAAGCGGCCTACAAAATGGTAAATGGCCTGTATTTGATATAGCGCCTTCTAGAGTCCTGGAACCCCCCAAGGCGCTTTACAACACAATCAGTCATTCACCCATTCACACACACATTCACACACTGGTGGGGATGAGCTACAATGTAGCCACAGCTGCACTGGGGCGCACTGACAGAGGCGAGGCTGCCGAGCACTGGCGCCACCGGTCCCTACAACCACCACCAGCAGGCAACGTGGGTTAAGTGACTTGCCCAAGGACACAACGACAGCGACAGATTGAGCGGGGCTCGAACCTGCAACCTTCAGATTACGGGGCGAGCTCTTAACTCCTGTGCCACCGTCGCCCCCAGGGCCTCTCTAACAGCCACACAGGCCGAGGCCATCAAGTAGACCTCTCTGATCCGTCTCAACTCTTTAAAGTTGCACCAAACAGCCTTTTAGGCCACACCCACTGGTGACAGGCTACACAAAGCCAGACCAATGGTGACAGAGCGACGTGGGCATGGCCAATCAGCTGGTTGCACGGTTTCTCTCATTTCAAGATATACATTTCTTTCCTATAATCCATCCAGCACACGGACTAGAATGATCAGAGACATTAAACGTGCAACAGTTGCTGTCGGAGCCCTGACGACTCAGAACAAGCCAAGAAGGTTGGGACCAATAAGTGGAGAACTGGATCTCCTCTGATCAAGCCACCGACCTTCCCATAGAAACCAGGCACCGTTCCCGTACCTCGTACTCGTTACGCTTCTCGTAGATGGGGATGATGAGCTTGGCGATGTGGGTGATGAGTTCGTAGCGTTCAGCTTTCCACAAAGCTTCAACACAGACCTCCAGGTGCTCCAACAGGACCTCCTGAGAAGGAACAGTAGAACCCATGCAGACACCATCTAAATATTGCTTTGTTGGAGTTCGTACAGTCAGGACCTCTGACCTTGTCGTGTGAATCTGCTTTTGCAAAAAAACAAACCAAGAAAACATGAGCAGAAGCCACACCTCAGTGTAATAGACATCCTGTATTCCAGTGTCTTCCTTCATAGCTGCTTCCTCTTCGATGTTAAAGGTGACCTTCTTAAACGCCATGAGGCCGCTGGGAAACAACTCTGACCAGACACACACAGAACACCTTTTGAAAACCTTGTATAAAGTAAAAAATACACATGTCACCTATACAGCTGCATAAGGACATAAACACTCGGATCTACTCCCCGCTGCTTGATTTGATCTTACACTGAACTATTAGTGTGTTGTGGTGGTGCTGAGTTCATCTAAGCTACACGGAAACCTGAAGTAGGGCTGAGAACAACAACAACTGCCTCACATTTGTTTAGAGGATTATCTGAAAGAATGATTTGCATGAGATAAAGACGAGTTGTGAGGCTTTTCTTTGGCTAGACGTCTCCTTTGCATGTTGGACGTAGCAGCGGACTGTGAAGGATTTTATCAGTACTGCAAAACATTTTCCTGAAGGACCGGTGTCTGGGGCCACCACTGTTTGTCAAGTCTGCAGACTAGCATCCATCTAAAAGGCTAGGCTATCCAGAGTTATCTCTGCAGTTATGCTGCGTAAGGGGTTAATTTACATCTACTTAATGGACCATAAGACATGAGATTCCATAATGAATGTAGGTGGTCTATGTGGTCTGTGTGGTCTACAGGCTTATGGTTGGTTTATGCTTGACGCGTCCGCGAGGTCCGCACGGCTCCGCGCGAAAAAGTTGTGTCATTTTAACAACCACGCCCCTCCACCGCGCCTCCGCACGGCCCAGAATTTCCGCAACGCGCACCTCGGAAAATTTCTAACCACGCGGACGGACGGACGCGGAAAAACATGGCGGACCGGCAAGAACTAGTATGGCAGAGGTTGGTAAATACAGACATTTGTATGATTCAGCTCTCAGAGATCACCGTGATCAACATGTTGTTAATAATTCTTGGAGAGAAATAGCTCGCACTGTCGGAAAAGACGAGGACGCTGTTAAAAATGCTGGAATACCATGTTGTAAACAGTAATTTCTACTTCTACTATGGTGTAGTGTTGGATGCATGCCGTAGAGCTCCATGCTGCCCCCTACAGTTTGGGAGAATATTGGCTCACCGCAGAGACGAGCCGCATGAACCATAAACGCTGCGAGTTGTGAAGCGCGTTCCATCCGCGAGCCGCATCACCAAGCGGAAAATAAATGCGTCAAGCATAAACCAAGCTTTAGACTGCTGGAGGACACACTGACCACTTTCCACACTCGACTACTGTCTTCTACTATCTGCTCTTTAACTGTATTATTTCCGGCTATTTCAGCTGTTAACTTTATTTTCTCTCTAAGTGTTTTTCTCCCCAGAAGAAGCGACAATGATGTTCTGCTGAGCTGTGGTGGCCTCATGGAGGGGGCCATCGTCTAACACACTGCTGCTAACCACTTAAACATTCTCCCTCTCCTGATAATAACTTTTTACTGTCTTTAACGTTGGATGTGCTACTACTAGTTTACCCGTCTAATTATAGATCCACTAGGATAAATACAATAAAGTTTATCTCTCACCAAATAGAATATTTACTAAGAAATCACAATGTAACCATAGGCACACTACTTGGTATATATATTGTGTGTGTGTGTGTGTGTGTGTGTGTGTGTGTGTGTGTGTGTGTGTGTGTGTGTTGGACGTACTTTTCCTGTGCAGGTACTCTGTAACCAGCGCACCCACATGAACATAACACATGGCAGCCTGCAGACACAGAAAACTCGGTGAACAAGAGGAGAAACCAGACGTGATCTTTAACAGGTTCATAAACGAGCTCTGGAGACTATCGCGGCCATGGCGGCGGGGCGTCACGCGGACGGCTTCGGTTCGCATATTTAACTTGAAAGTGACTTTCCATCAGATCAAAACTGGCTCCTAACGAACCTCCACAACATGCAGTCAAACCTGAGAGATGGAACGTTGGGAACGTCGTCCCGGCGTCCTACGAACGTCCAGCTCATTCAGGTTTATGTTGAAGTAGTTTAAAAGGATTCATATTACATTACACTGTGAGAAAAAAGTATTCTCTGAAAATTCTAAAATTACTGTCAAAAGAATAAGAGATGAAACGTGAAAAAATACATTATAGAGATAAATGTTTTAAACAAGTTACTGAAAAAACACCCAAAAATAAAAAGAAAAAATATACAAATATTGACTTTTTTAAGGGATATTCTGAATATTACTGAGGAATATTCATAATGTTTTACATTAGAAATGGTTTAAAAGAGAAATTTTGAAAAATGCAGGTAAATAACAATTATCTAAATAATAATAATAATAATAAAAATGAAACTGTGTAAATATTTAAAGTGTCTTTATCTAGAACTAACTAGAGTTTGATGTTTACTTAATTACACGCTGAAGTGGGTGGCGTTGCACCATTTAGTTGCAGGAGCGACACCCATCACCTTATTTGTCACAAACACCCAAAAGATCTCCCAGAGGAGGAACCTGAGAATGGGGGGCGGGACCCACAGGCTGCTCGTGTGTTTGTGCAAGGCGACAGTGTTTGTCTGATCTTTATCACCCGAGCGGAGGCAGATTATTACTGAGTAACTGAGAAAGTGGAGATTTTACGCAAACATGAACTGAAACAACAAGAAAAAGACACACCTGTGCTTCTTGTTTTCACACAACACACGCAACAGGAACCAGAGGAGGAAATACCTCAGACAGGTCTCCATTCTTCAGGTGAGCCCTGGCCATGCTGTCCAGCCAGGTCCGTCGGAGCTCAGGTGTGCTGGCGTAGGAGCGGGCCAGGCTGTACTGCAGGTCCAGCAGCATCTCTGGGTCTTTCTCGTGCTCCTTCATCTGGGCGGTGGCCATCAGCACCGTACGGATCCGTTTGGTGAGGCCTTTCACCTCCGAGGGGAACGCCGTGGACTGAACCAGAACCAGAACAGGATCAGGATCCAACTTCATCAGTAAATAAGCAGATTTCATTCTGCCTTACATCTTCTCAGGAGAACAGCACAGGGTGGTGGAAATCAAAATCTGTCTGCCTTATCGATGGGTGTCTCTCAGCGGCACCAATAAAGGCGTCTTATTTTATGTTTAAACAAGGAGAAGTGGACCATAAACCATGCTGGGGGGTAAATGGTAAATGACCTGCACTTGTATAGCGCCTCTCAGAGTAAGGACTCCAAAGCGCTTTACACTACAGTGTATCATTCATCCATTCACACACACATTCACACACTGGTGGTGATGAGCTACAATGTAGCCACAGCTGTATGGCGTTTAAAGCGTGCCACAACCCGTGCACGCGCATTGGGTCCACAGCGCGCGTGTGAACGGGACTCGCGAGCGCAAATATACATGGCGAGAGGTCATTTGTGCACTGAGAGGGAGCAAACTGTGTCTGTGAGCGCACAAGGATGTGCACAAGTGACAAACCTGCGTGCGCGCGTTGTCAACGAGCACACGGCAGAGGAAAACGTGCGCGCGCGGCAGCCTCTGTGCGCGCTCGGCAGCCTCTCTGCGCGCTCGGTTTCTGACTCCTGCTCGCTCGGCTGTAAGGGCTTTTGGCACTCTGGAGGCGTGGCCTGTGGCAGAACTTCCCTGTCCTCTGATTGGTTAGTTTACCCCGCACTTTACTCTCTAGCTATCTATATAAAAAAATCTGGTATTCAGCAGTTGCTGGCTTAGCTCAGCTGCGAGAGCGGGTGACTCTCACTCTAGAGGATCCAGGTTCGAGTCCGGGCAAGGAAAATGTAGTAGATGTCATGTTAATTTTTCTTAATTTCAGGTATTTCACAGTTGTGACCGTTCAACTGTCATTAAACGTCCGAATGTTTGCTGGGCAGTGTTTTAAAAGGTGCACATAAGCTAGATGATTTTAACCATATAAAATTACATTTTTTGTGATACTGGAAAAATACATACTGAAATAAAACTACTGGTTGAAAAC